GTGTCTCTGTAAGAGAGAGAGAGACAAAGAGACAGGGATGGTTCCGTGAAGATGGAGCAGCCCTAGGCCAGGGAACGCCTGGAGAAGCAATGAAGGATCGACCTCCGGGGCCTCCAGCACGACTGTGTCCCCCGCAGTCCCCTGATTTCAGATTTCTAGCCTCTGGAACTGTGAGAGGATAAAATGATAAAATTCTGTGCTTTAAACCACAATGTTGGTGATCATTTGTCACAACAGTTCTAGGAAACTAACACAGGTTCTAAAGGAAACAAAGGAGAATGAGGGAAGCCAGGTGCTGGGGGTTCTCGCATCGTCAAAAGGCATGTCCTTTGTAAGGAAGAGGTGACTGGGAGTCGCAGGCAGGGTCCCCTCGCAGGAACCCTGCCCCGGGGGCTCCTCCTTTGTTACCAGCTTCAGTTTGGGTCAGGAGTGGATGCCTGTTTTTGTAGCCTGCTGATTTCTCATCTCACTTCTGATAAATAGAGTCTGTTTCCTATGGCACCCCTTTCTATGGTGTGCAGGTAGGCTTCTTCCCTGTGACCCCCAACTCCTCTCACACACATAGACACAGCCGCCGCCTCCCTCCATCATCCAGGCACACTGGTCGGTGGCCTACGCCCGCCCACACACAGCCCACAGGACTCTGTGTCTAGCCTGGACGAAGGCCTAGAGGTTGGCCTATTGCTCTAAAGGGGCTCTGCCCCACCTCTGTGGGTCCCTTCCTGCTTCCTTCTTAGCTGCGGAAAGGGTTGGCGGTGGGTTCTTACAGCCACGGCCATAAGGGAGAAGCAAGAGGCAATCCGAAAGGAAAAGAGTCCAAGGAATCAAAGCCAAGGGAACTTCAAAGAGACATGAACTCCCCAAATGAGCAGTTCTTAACATCTTTTTATCTCTTTTGAAAATTCCATTCCCTAACATGGTGCCCCAGTTTCATACTTGGCCTCAGCCCCTCTCAGTGTTTCACTCTATAGCAGTCTGTTATTTGGTGCAAGAACAGAACTGATTCTGGCTGAGTCAAGCTGGGGGTGAATTTACCAGAAGGCTGGAGAAGCAGGCACAGATAACGCACAAGAACAAAAGAAGATGAGCAGGCAGAACACGACCAAAATCAGGCCCCGCCCCCAATCAGGGTTCGGGACATCACAGAGAAACACTGGGCGTCACTTCTCCTGGAGCTGGAGCCTGTGCCCACCTCCCCCACCTCAGGGGGGGTCCCCGGGCTGCAAAAGGTGCCTCAAAACTCCAGACAAGACCTGCTGGACCACCTCTATGGTGTGTGCTCAGGTCCCGGGAGGTGCAGATGGGGCCTGTTTCAGGTGGGCTCTACCTCCTGCTGAGAATCCTGAACATAAATGAATTTTAAAATATCTACTTTGTCCTCTTTGGGTAAAGCACAGAAAAAAGTTGGAGAGGCCCCCGTCTGTGATCAGATTGTCACAACAGTGCCTTCTACTGACAGACGGATAAGAGGATAGAAAACAAGATGAATATTTACACACCCCCTTAAAAAGTCCTGCTGACATTCAGTCACCCTTTAGTTTTGGATTCAGGCCATCAGACAAAGCAAGAGAAACCTCCAAGGTGCAATGCAAAAGCGATCCCATGAGAGTGATGTAAAAAGGTCCTGACTGATGATGGATGCTAACTTCAAGCAACCATGGCCTGTGCCCACGGGAATTCAAGCAGTGTCATTTCTGCTGCGACCGTCCAGGGTGGCTGTGTCTTTTGAAGACAAAAGCTGCTGCTTTGAAGTGAGACTCTCTGGCCAAGGTTCAGGGAGCCTGGAGAAGTTCCTGGAGGTGGAGGCAGGCGGTGCACAGTGACTGCTGTGCACATGCCCGGGGTCCGGCACCCAGGACACACTTGTAGAATGTATGCAGGAGTACAAACCTTGGGAATGAGTTTCCGATAGGGCTCCACAGCACAAACAATGAAAGAAAAGTGCGGAGATGCTAGTACACAGCAGAGCAACAAGGAGGGAGGGGGGAGGGAGTGGCTGCCGGCTGTAATAGGTCTGTAATAGTCGGCAGTGAGAAAAGCACACACCTGAGAAGTGGGGGGGCACAGATGAAGGGAGGCGCAGTCCAGAGTAGACCCAGCACTTAGGACAGACAGGAATGAAATGGTTCATCTCTGCTATGGACTGAATGTTTGTGTCTCCCCCAAATTTCTATGTTGAAGCCCTAATTCCCAGTGTAAGGTACTCGGAGGTGGGACTTTGGGTGATAATTAGGTCATGCGGGTGGAGGCCCCGTGAATGAGATTAGTGCCCTCACAAGCTCTCTGGAGAGCTCTCCCTCCTACCCCCCCTTTCCCCTCTCTCCCTGCCATGTGACAACGCAGCAAGAAGGTGGCCTTCTAAGACGCGAAGAGCTCTCCCCGGAACCTGGCCATGTTAGCTCGTCCCCCACGCTGTGGTAGTTTATTACTGCCACCCCAGCAGACTGAGACAACCTCTTCCTCTGACATCTGGAGAATGGAAGCTTCATCTGTGTTGCCACCATCCCACCCTTAGCTGTTTGTTCATTAAATAAAATATTGGTAAAAGCACCTCGTCTGGTCCCAACGCTAGGTTAGGCTGGGCGCCAGGGCTGCTTTGATACGGTGTCATGTTGTCAGGTCCTCTGCCAAGGGTCTCACCCTGAAAGCTCGCTGACACCGTGCTGCAGCTGAGACCTCCCCTTCTTGCACTCACCTTTGAGGGGCAGGATGGTGGAGTGGTTGGGGCACAAGTCCATCCAGACAGCCAGGATTCTAAGCCCAGCCATGCCTCTTACTCCTTGTGCGATTCTGGATCAGGCTCTTGCCCTCTCAGTGCCTTGGTTTTCTCATCACTAAAATGGGGATAATCATAGCACCACCTCACAGGATTGACAGAAAGATCAAAATACTTAGGAGAGCACCTCACGTGTAGGACGTGCTGTGGAAGTCAGCCCTCCTCCTCAGCTCAGACTTAGAGTGACTGTCCCTCTTTGGAATTATTGTCCTTACAAGAAGCACCTCAGAAGCATCTCTGGCAGAAGAAGAATTTGCGAAAACAATGCACTTCTTCTCACACTAGGCAGAATGCTTTTTGGGTCTTCTAAGTTCTCTGGAATAGCTAGATTTTTTAAACATATATTTGAAAATAAACTTTAGCGGGATTGCATTCTCAGTAACAGATCCCCAATTATGTGCACTCTGGGGCCATGAGCACCTTTTGTTTTACTATTGCACACTACAGCCATTTTTAAAAATTGCTAATTGTGAGAAATGCTAAAGAAACATCCCAGACCTCAGAGAAAGGTCTAGTAGGTGTGAAAGGAGAGAGCGGTGGGTGGAGTGATGTTTCTAAGTGAGGTGGGTTTAGATCCTAGAACAGAATCCTGAGATAAGCTGGGAAGGGGGGAGAGTTTTCTCAGAGCAGAGGCCGATCTCTTCTCATTCTCTCAGAGCTGATCCAAGGGCCCATTTAGAAGCTGCAGCTCTGTGTCAGCCCCTAGGGATCCTGGGAGATGCCACATAGACAAGGCACACTGCATTCCCTGCAGTGTCAGTTATCCGTGGTCCACTGTGGTCCAGAGGGCCAACAGCAGCCTAATGCTGCATCACAATGCCTACGTCCGTGCCCTCACCTCATCTCATCATGTAGGCATTTCACCCTCTCACACCATCATGAGAAGTGTGAGTCCAGTACAATATTTCAAGAGACCACATTCACACAACTTTTATTACATTATGTTGTTATCATTGTTCCATTTTATTTTTATCTATTGCTGTTCATCTCCTATGGTGCCTAATATATAAATTGAACTTTATCTTAGGTATGCACATATAGGAAAAAATATATATATATATGAGAGCTTGGCACTACCCTCCATGTCAGGATCCACTGGGGTCCTCAGAATGTGTCCCCCAGTTTGGAGGACTACTGTATTTTAAAGTACAGTGAAGAATTAAGAGAGTATTGTGAATACTAATTAAGGGAAACCTCACTGACATGGTGTTGGGAGGCCTGCAGCTCTCACGCCCACCACGCCTCGCAAATCTCAGATCCCACTGGAAGAGACGGACACCACACCGTCCCAGCTACTTTATCACCTGGCAGGAGGAAGAGGAAAGCCCCCGGCCTCAACCTCCTGCTACGGCCCAGCCAGTGAGAGACTGTCTTAACCCAGCCCAAGAGAAGCCACAAAATGTGGGCCCTCCAGTTAACTCCAGTGGACATTTTGCTTAGAACAGCCCTTTCCAGTGCCTCTGTCTCTATAAAAGAGTGTTTCTCTGCTTTGATCCAGACAGGCCTATGGTTCTGCTGTGGTTTGCATGTCCTGAATTGCAATTCTGTGCTAATCCTTAATAACCTTGTTTTTGCTGATAACTGACTGTTTTCATTTTAAGGTTAACAGTATCAAATGCACAAAAAATGAAAATATAAAAGAGGGAGGAAGAGAAGGAAGAGAAAAGAAGGAAAGGGGGGAAAAAATGAATGGAAAGGCAGGGAAAAGAGGAGGGAAGGAAAGAAAGAAAAGGAAGAGAAGCCCAAGCCTACGGGCTCAGAAAGTTCAGGAAAGGCAGCAGGTTCCAAGTTATTTCAGGAATTTCTGATTAGGTTTTATAACTTGGAGGTGGAATTTAGGAGACTATAGAAAACGGGGTATATGCTGTGGCTTAATTTTCTTCTCCTGGGCTACCCTTTCCCTGTCTCTGGAAGGAGGAAAGGGGCTGTCCCCACGTCAGAGCGGATTGCTGGCCAAAGGACCAGGGCTGCCTCTCTCTGCAAAGGCCTGTCGGAGCAGGGTGGGTGGGGTGCAGCTGAGGCACCGGCCTGATCACACCTCCTAAATCAAGGGGTCCCCCTCTTCTTCCTTCCCCCCACCCCCAAGTCCCTGCTCTACTTCTCCTAAGGGACAAATACATGCCGAAGTTTCCAAATGTTACCATTTCTGTTATTCCTGTTTTGCAATGTCCAAATAATGCTTGCAAAAAAGTGTGAAACACTATGAAGGTTAAAAACAGCCAAATAACTGTGACGTGTCTGATTTTAATATACCTATAAAAAATACAAAATAATATCATCATTAGGACTCCTTCCTGGTGTGTTTTACATTTTAAGGAATACTGTATAATTAAGTAAGCTATCTGGCTAATTTGATAAATTGGGCTATACTAGTTCATAGCTTATCTCTGTTACATAAATCTCTTTTGAACTTTAAGATATATTTGATTCTTTCCACCCATAATTTTCCTCCTAGGTATATGGACATAAACAAATGGCACACACAGAAAAAACCTTAGGGAGATTTTGATTTAATCGTATCATTGGTATTAGTAAAAGTTGTTTCAACTAATTTTTTTGTTATCATGACATTTTTAAAATGCGGGTCTTAAGGACCATTTGTAATAATAATGCTGTATTATGTTTTCATAGTGCTTAACAATATCCAAATGCTTTCTCATGCATGATCCTGACTCTCCTAACAGCCTTTTGTTGCAGTAGATAAGGGGATACAGTAGATAAGAAGATCAAAGGCTGACAATTCAAGGGCACATAAATAATAAGTTCAAAAGCTGAGGCCAGATCTGGGCCTCTCCCACTAGCTCACTGGAATTTCCATCCCATCATGTTTAAAACTGGTTCCTGTGTTGAGTAGGACAGAGTAGGTGACCTTTCAAGAGTGCATTATTTTAGTCCATTTTGTAAGGTTCTCATTCAAATTTCTCAATATTCCTCATGACTTCCATATACTTATACTCTTACCCACATATTATGTTAAAGAAATTTAGGTGATCTCAAAAACAGTGGGAAAGAAGTTTCAGAGCTTCCCCCTGCTGTGATTTTCAAGGCAGCTCAATGGTGCAACTTAACTAAGACTTTCATTTTTTTTTTAGTCTTATGGTTCTTAAAGAAAACCATACCAAAATTAAGTTCTGCTTTCTAAGAGCAAACTTTAAGCTGGGGGAGAGAAACAAAATGTGAAGAAGAGTACATTGATATTTTTAGGACAAAAAAATAAAATCAGTTTGAAGTTGTGTCCTTGTCCACTGGCAACGGTCCTCTTTCTAGTCTTTATCGGGCCAAAGCACTGGAACTCAGCCCCATCTTGCTGCTGTAAGATTCCTCCGTGTGCCTGAACTCACTTTTCTTCCCACCTGAGTGTGCCAAGAACCAGGATCTCTAAAACACCTGGCTAAATCTGCATCTATCATGTTATGTAATATCTGTCCTGGAGAATGAAGTTCATGGAGTCAAATAACTTCAGAAATTAACTGAAACACATAGACTTTTAAAAACAAGTTAAAAAAATTTTTTTTGTATGAGTATATAGACCTACCCCCTCCAAAAAAAAAACAGGGAATAAGCAACTGAGAATTTGTACATTACAATTATAATTGCAATTCATAATATTCCCAAGTCTCTATCCACAGGTCATCCGTCAATGCTTGCTACAGCTTTGTACAGCAGGTGTGGGAATCATTTATGGAAGAAATTCCCAGAGGAATAGGTTGGGGCTTCAACATATTCTTAGGAGTTCATAGAATGGACTTATCATGCTGATAAAGCCATAAATAGTTATGGGTTTGATGTTCACAGAAGGTGTGCGCCTCATGTTGATGTATTATTCTAAGCAGGTGCTCAATAAAAATTTGTTGAATGAATGATTGTATGAATAAATGAGCATCACAAAGAAATTGAGGAATTCAGACATGGCCAGAAGAACTTTACTCCTGCTCCAGTGACCCAACCGATCTGATCTTCCTGTCATGCTGAGTGGAGCGCTCACATCACCCAATCATGTCACATTCCTTTCTGGTTAATAACACAACCACGGGCCCCTCTGGAGTAGTGTAGAAACAAATGAGAAGCGGAGGATCAGGAAAGCCCTACAGCTTCGCTTTCATTTCAAACCTGATTTCTTGGCTTCCGGTGTTTCTGCTCATTAAACAGAGAAAAAAAAAATTAGTTTGTAATTTTCAAAACACTTTGCATGTTAACTCATTTCATTTGCAAACAACTTTAAAGGCAAAATCACTAGAGGGTATGTGGTGAACAGGGCCTAGTTACCAAAGGAGGTCACATAAAAATTAAAAAATGCTAAAGAATAAATAGTCCACGCTGTCCAGGGGGATGAGCTAGGCAACCCAAGTGAAAATTAAAACGAAATTACATACACTAATCAGCGGTTGCATAACACATCCAACGCATTTGCCTACAATGCAATTATCCTGATAGGTGCTGAACTCAACACGCCCTGCTGGGTTAGTGTGTCTCCAGGGATATGAAGCGCAGGGCTTTTCTCCTGCGGGTTGGCTGTGTTCCCTTATGACCACGATGGCAAATAAACAAACACTCGCAGCACTGTTAGACTTCGAACATCTGAAATAAAAGCAACACAGATCTGCACATGGCTAGCTTTCAGGTCCCTCAGATGAACAAAAGACAGGCTGATTCGAGGTCAGTGCTCCGTTTCTAGAACATTGTATCTGACCTTGGGTTTGAGAAAACCACGTTTGTTTTATGCTATATAAAGAATTCTTCTCCTTCTGTATCTTCACCCTGGATTGGCAAATGAAGGGGACATTTTGAGATTATCTTCCTTGTGCCAAGGTTTCTTTGGCCTGCAAGTGGCAAAGGATAGACTGCTTTCTTAAAGATACTGTTTTTGGAGGCAGCTGCCCCCAAGGAGGAGGCTGGCAAGCAGGATGGTAGCTGGCTGGTCCCCAGATCTCTTGGAAATCGGCTTAGAAAAGGTTGCCTGGGTTCAGAATTGACCACTGTGAACCCTGTGTCAACATTCGTCTCTGCCTCCATCCTCTCAAAGCTGTTGCTCTGGCTGAGGACCGTTACCCTGGTCCCAGGTTGCAGGTGGGGAGAAGGAAGGTGCAGCTGGGAGTCCAGGGCTGCTCTGCTGCCCTGGGACGAGCAGCGAGGGCTTTTCCATGAAGCACCACTGGCACTGTCTGATACTGCACCTTTGCCAGGCTCAGAGCACTCCAGGGAAGCCGCCTTGAACCTCCTGGCCCAGCTCCTTCGGCATCTTGGCTGTAGGGTCCTGCTCACAGAGGCAGGGGTCAGCCTGGAGCCCTGGCGTAGTGTGTCAGCTCCCAAGCTGCCATTCAGAAAGGAAAGCTCCCCATTCCTAACACCAAGCCCTGGATTCACCTGGACCTATGGGACGAGGAAAAGAGGAACAAATTCAATAGCTGTTTTTCATTAACTAAATGTTAAGAACACATTACACACTATTCATCCTTTGCTGTGCCATGCATGTAGCAGATTTTTAATAAAGTTGGTAGAATTGAAGTAATATGTACAATCTAATTATGAAGTATATGGTCAGCACCAGCTCCAAATATCTCTCTCTCTCAGATGCCCTAAATTAACATTTGATGACGCTAAGACTCTGAGAATCAAATAACCATGTGACAGCAATACCGTTCTGGTAGACCGAGTTGTCCAAACAATGCAAAGATGGTCATAGAGGCTATTTGGTGGCTTCACATAATGTTGTGAACAATGTATTACCAACCATGCATAAAGAAAATTAGCCACAAGAACATGTAGTTATAATCAACATAAAGATTAGAATAAGAATTCAATCTTCCAAAGTTGATAGCTCTTTTAGATCATACTAATGAGATCATACTAATGATGATACATATCTTGGGATTATTGCAAGATACGTGGGAAACCCAGGCAGGCTAATAAGTTGACACCTTTTAAACCAATATTCTTTAAAATTGGGGGCACCATTTAGAGTGGTGACCTAGTATCATGTGGAAAAACAAAAAAGTGGGGTGGGGGCTCCTTATATGGGGGCTCTGGTGTCTTAATCCCTAACAATTTCATTCTGGTTCCAAATTTACAGACCCTACTCAGGAAAATGCCCACCCTGCATTTAACTGCTTTCTCCTTCTGCAGAATGAAGTCCACTGTCCCATTTTCCATCCTTGGGCCCTTGGGAGCCTCATCCCCTACTCCTTACACAACACTCCCATCAAGAGGATTTCTGGAAAAGACAATTTTCTCCATCTTGCCAATAGCCCTGAGTAATTGGTTTCCGGGGCCCACTCCTGTCTGGCTCAATCCTTAATGAAATATCAAAAAGAATGTCTCAAAGAACCTTTACGCATTTCCTAAGTGAAAGAAGCCAATCTGAAAAGTCTATATACTATGGGATTCCAACTATATGACATTCTGGAAAAGGTGAAACTATGGGATGGTAAAAAAGTTGGTGGTTGCCAGGAGCTAGAGGGGAAGGAGGGACGAACAGGTAGGCACAGAGGAACTTTAGCATCAAGCTATTTGTGAGGCAAACATGATAACCACTACACTATGGAAACCGCTCCTGGTATCAAACTATTTGACACAATACTGGATACACGTCATCGTAGGCTTCTCAAAACCAACAGAACGCCCAGCACTAAGAGTCATCATGATGATTAGTGCAGCTTCATGGATTATAAAAAACATACCACTGTGATGTAGGATATTGATAGTGGGAAGGCTGTGCATGTGTGGAGAAAGGGGTTATATGGGATTCTCTTAATTTTCTGCCCCATTTCATTATGAACTTAACACTACTCCAAAAAAAAGTTTTGTAAAAGAAAAAAAAAATAACAGTACACATTATCTCATAAGGAAAGGAGGCAGAAATTAGAACAGTGGGAAAGTAGGTCTAGAGATGAGCAAATCTCCATATACATACATGTTGTATTTTTGTTTATATATGTAACACACATATATGCCTTCTGAATTTTCTCTCCGAAATGGTGAGGTGACTATTACCAAGCTATTAACAAATAAGGGAATTCCATTAATTCCCTTAGCATAGAAGTTGGCAAATATTTTCTGTGAAGGGTGATGTAGTAAATACCTGAGGCTCTGTGGCCCATTCGGGTTTTACTGCCATTATTCGGCTCTACTGCCAGCAGCCCTCCACGCACAGGCAAAAGTGGGCGTGGCTGTGTTCCCATCAAACTCTATGGACACTACAATTGGAATCTCATATCATTTTCATGGGTCACAAATTGTTTTCCCCAACCATTTAAAGGTGGAAAAACTGTTCTTAGCTCCCAGGCCATAGCTATCTGACCTCCTCTCACGTTCAATGATTTTCACTCATCCATTCCTCCCTGGCTCTTAAGAATATAAAGCTTTTTTCAAACAAAATCTTTCCTGGAGGCCCCATATAGGAGGCAGTCAAGGCCGAGGAGCCCGAGTTGAAGTACCTGCTAGGCCTCACTTTGTACCCCGCTCACAGTGGCTGCTGACCTCCCCCACCTGGTCCCTAGGGACCCCAGAACATAGTTTGAAAACCACTCTTCTAGAATCTCAAAAGGTTACTCCTGAGCTGAGTGGTTCACTACAGGGCTGCACTTGGGTGAAACCTCTCGGCACAGGTCTCCTCCACCTGAGCCTCCCCTGAGCAAGGTGCCCCAGCCTGCATCGAGGGCAGCTTCCACCGGCAGCAGAAACTGAGGTCTGGCTCCCAGCCGCATCATCCTAACTTCACTGAGGGCATTTCAACCTGGGCATGAACAATTTTTAAATCCCTAGGTGATTCTAGTGTGCAGCAACATTTGGGAATCCATACCACAGGCCCAGCAAGGGTGGGCCGCACATAGTATGTGGCCTCTGGTCGCCGTGAATCCAGTTCTCAGCACGTAAGGCCCACCCATTTCTTTGCCTAATTTCATTTTGCTCTCTACACATTTCCCTGTGCTCTAATTCCTTCCTTCCTTCCTTCCTTCCTCCCTTCCCTGTCTTTCTTCTCTTTTCGTCTGAGTATTAGTTAAGAAAAATGTCTTATTATAAAAGCAATGATTGCTCAGTGTAAAAGCAACTTAATTGTGAAAGTGTATAAAACAAAAAGTCAAGGCATCTACTCTACTCCAACCTCAGGTCACCCCAAATTCTCACTCACCAAAGAAAACCATCTGCTCCTCCTTTTAGAGTCAGGGCGGAGATGCTATCTCCCAGATGGAAGAGGGGGTCCCCTTCCCCGGAGAGTAAACTCCCCCAGCAGAATTTGCCTCCAGTAGAATTTGCATTATATTCTACCTTTTTACTTGAGCCAGTAAAATCTTTTTCTCCTGGAAATGGGAACTGACATGGCTCTTTCCACATTCACAAATCATTCAGGGCTGATATCAGACTACCCCGTCTGGATGAGGAAATCCACAGGTTTGATGCTGGGGCTCTTATTTAATTTTCCAGCCACTGTGAACAGAAAGAGAAGCCTGAGCAAGTTCCTCCTTGCCCCATAAACCAATCTCAGATCAGAACAAAACTGGTCCTGAAGCCGCAGCCAGAGCCAAGGCACAGCGCAGCCAGCAAGGGCCCTACTCAGCTGGAGGGCCCTGGGGAGCCAGCTGGTACACCCTTCCCCTCAACGCTGCTCACACAGCCCCACGGCCCCTCCAGGGAACTTGCTCCAGCTCTGACCCCATTTACACCTAGTGCCCTCGGGCCACCACCACCCTTCCTGCTCCAACCCAAGCTCTCTGGTGCGCCTGCTTTTCCGCACCAACCCCTCCGTTCCTCCCGCCTCTCTCCCTCGGCTGCCTTCTATCTTCACTGCCTTCCATGGTCACCGCGAGTCCAAAGACCATCTCTTCAACCAGTTCCTCGCCAGTGCCTCCAGGTCCCCGCACCACCCCGCCTCCTCCCCCAGAACCTCCCAGCCAAGGGGCCATCCAGGCCCACTTGCCTGAGCTTGTGCCCAGGCTGCCGAAGAAAAGCATGCTGTCAGACTGATGCACCACAGAGGTGACGTGCAGGTGTGGTGTCCGACCGCATCCAGGCTACTCCCACTTCCCTGTTTCTTGTTTCTCTCCATCGCCACAAGTGGCTGTTTCAAAGCTTCTGACCTGTCCTCAGACCATCAGTGGCACCTCTTTCCCTGGCTACCTCATCAGATGGTCTCACCATGTAGGCGACAGAGAAAACAAAAGCTGTCATTTGTTAGCAACTCTCTCAGCTTCCTACCACCGGACTTACTTGCAACTGCACCCCATCCTCTCCACAGCAGAAGGGGCTGGTCTGTACCCGTGCTGTGATTTCCACCCAATCCTGTCTTCCTGGTGACCCCAACCTATTAAGGACTCATTTTCTCCAAGATTATTATCTTGTTTCTTCTTTCCATCTCTCTTTTACTGTCCCTCCCCACTCTCTCTTTCTCTGCCTACTCCCCTCCAACAGCATTAACCTGCTGAAGCCATCTTCAAAAACACGCTCTTTCAACCATCTGTTCCCCTCCAGCTCTCTTTCCTCTCCTTCACAGCCAAACGTCTTTATAAAAAAATTCCATTCCCCTATTTTCCTCTAACCTTCCCTCATTTTCCCTACCTACGACATTGACTTTCCCTCCTACAACCCACTGAAATTACTCTTGCCAAGATCATCTACAACCAGCCTCCTTGTTGTTAATTTTGTTTGAGCTATGGTTGAATTTCACAAGGCTGACCTTTCTCCATCGCATCTGAAGTCTTCTCCTTAACTTCTAGGTCAACACACTTTTCTGGATTTTCTCCGTCTTTTCCATCCATCCCTTCTCGGTCTCCCCTGAGGGACCCTCTTCCTCTGTCTGTCCTGGTATGCTGTACTTCAGTGCTGCCGTGGATCCCCTTCTCTCCTCATTCTGCACATTCTCCCAGGACAAGGTCATCGACATGGACTCAATTATTATCTAAATGATGACGGCTCCCCAAAGTCGAACTACAGTTCAGATCTGTCTCTCAAGCTTCCTACCTAGGTACCAGCAACTCACTCAACATGGCAAAATATGAACTCATCTCCCTCCTCCCGCTAAATCTGTGCTGCTCACTCTCTTCTCCCATCTTAGAACATGGCTTCATTAGCCCCAGTTAACAAGCAAGAGCATCATTTTCCCTTCTTCTTTCCCATGTCACCCATTGCCATGGACTCTGCCTCCCGATGATCTCCCAGGTCATTCTGTCCCTCCGTGTCCACTGCCACTGACCCGTGGGAGGCTCTCATCATGATCTGAATTACTGCAGCAGCCATGCGATGAGGGCCCCCCAAAGATGTTCCGACTTCCCTCAGATCCATTCTCCGCTCCACCAGCAAAAGAGCAAAGAAAACAACTTTGACCGCGTCACCCTCTTGCTTCAAATGGCTTGCCACTCTTCCTGAGATAAAAATCTAAGCCCTTGAGTATGGCTTACCACATCCCTCATTCTACTCCTTCTTATTCTACCTGATAACTCACCGCTTCCTCTCTTTCCAACCTCTTTCAATTCCTTGGACATTATTTGCTCTTTCCTAACGGCAGTGTTTATGCATATGAATCTTCTGTCTGAGATACGTCTCCTCCAACCGTTTTTCCTCAAAACCCATTGTCAGCTCCAAGCTTACACTTCATTTCCTCTTGGAAGCCTTTCTGATACTGCTGAATCTAAGTTAGGTAGCCCTAAATTTCAGCTCTGTCACTTATTCTTTGTGGAACTACAGACAAGTTACCGAATCTTCCTATGCCTCAGTTTCTTCATCTATAAAAGGAGGTAAGTGCCAACATCATAGAGCTGTTGAGAGGATTAAATAATAACAGTGCCTGAGGCATATGAGGTGGCTCTTATTGTGATAATATTACCATCAACTCTCCCAGAGCCTGTATTTTCCACGGCATAGCAGCTACTACAGGTTTGCATTTGCATTGTAGGGAGAGAGGGACTGTATACATCTCCTCCATCACTGTATCTCCAGTACCTAATACGGTGCCTGCCACATGGTAAACCTTCACTAGATGTCCACTGGATAAATAAAGAAAGCTTAACACCTAACACATATAAATGTCATGCAAAAATAGATGAAAGTGTAGTTTATAAATCAGGCCCTTAATTATTTGACATTAGGTAGATACGAAGTCTTATCAAAATGACTCTCATCATATAGCTGGTCATTTCTGCAATCTTTTCAAGAGAAGGGAATGCCAACTTTTCTTTTTTAAAGAGAAGCCTAAAGTCCTCAGACTACAGGGCAAAAATGAGCACCACATTATTAATGTAGGAAAGCAGATGTGTGCAGCTAGAGTGCAGAATTTCCAGGAAAAGCATAATGCTGATGATTGAGAGAGATAACCCCGCAGAGGGAGAATAGAGCTCCTCGTGCCAAAAAACAAATTGAAATGCATTTGCAGGAATTCAGATCCCTTAGAGCTCATCTTTCTAAGAAAGATTTGTAAAATGCTACAAATTGAGAGCTGGTTTTTTTTTTTTAAACTTCAGGAAACATTGGAAACCATCTTGATGAACAGGAAGATCATTTGTCACTCATCTGACTCGAAACACTTGAGAAACAAGAGAACATACGTCACTGAAAAATGATTAAGCTGCTGTGGGGCAGACTGACATCATGAAGGGAAAATAATATTGTCTCTTACTAAAAGTGATTCCAAGAGATAGCGAAAGAGGATTTCCTGTACACCAGGAAAAGAATTTCATGGAAACAAATCATGTAGATAATAAGAAATCCAAAGAGACAGAGTTGCCTACTTACAAGTGGAAACCCGTCTCCTCCAATTAACTCAACTTTTAAAGGTTCATTTTAATTGATTAGTCATAACTGCTGATGATAACCTGCAATTCTGTAAGAGCAGCCCCCTCGTGAGCAATGACTACAAGGTCTCTTTCAGGGCAGCATAAGTCAGTGTCAAGTGAGAGTTACATGTGTAGGAATAGTTGTTGTGTGTGTGTGTGTGTGTGTGTGTGTGTGTGTGTGTGTGGTGTGGTCATATGGGTACATTAGGGATGGGAATGGAGAATGGGAAAAAAATGGAGAGAGGAACAAAGAAGGAGAAATAAGAGTCTGAGAGAGTACAGCTGGGAGACTCAGAAATGAGAAAGGAGTCCTCAAAACATGCCACAGAAGAAAAAGAAAAGGAATTACTTATTTCATGAGAGTGTGCTTTTATTTTCAGTGGTTAATAAAGAACATAAAGATGAACTTAGCCAATGTCTGTTGATAAAATGAAAGGAACACACGCTTGCTTATGCCAGAGTTTGTCTCTGGATTATATACCTTTTCTGAAGAGACAAACCTATTTCCTAAAAACAATAAACCCACCAATGTTTTGGAAGCTGACATGGATAGTGGTGATGATTGCATTACAGCAACATGTAATGCCCAGGACATCTTCCTCACAAAGAAGAATTATTTAATCCAGAACATCAACGGTGCAGAGGTTGACTAGAGCAACAATTCCTGTAGCATCTATATGAGAGGTGAGGACACAGGGCATAGGGTGGCCCCCAAGGTTAGAGACACAGACAAATATAGGGAATTATGGCTTCCCAGGGCAGAGAGACTCATAGGTGAGACTCATAGAGAGACCTACAGCAGGAAAGAAAGCCAGGCCGGGAAAAGCAGAACTGTGACTGACAAGTGGCTGGAGGCTGGGTGTGGACAGCTCTGAGAATTTAAACCCCAGGGAAACTCAGCCACAGGGGAGCCCTACAATTTTGTGAGATTTACCTCCAGGACCTTGACCAGATTCTCGCAATAAACCTGGGAGAAAAATCTCCTTGTGCTTCTGAAAGGGGAAGAACCATTTTATAAATACCCCAGAGATCTCTGTCGTTCTCAAAAGGCCCGCTCTCAGGGAGCCAGTTAACCAGAACCTAGCCTGCTGGAACATTACTGGAGCCCATGTGACCTGGGTAGGGCAAAAATCAGCTCTAGTTCGCTCTAGCCTTCCACGTGGGAGAAGAGGATTACTCAACTCCAGCTCACGGAAGTCATCCTCTCCCACCTAATGGGGGAGAAAACAATTTCCAACACTTATGAAGTTCACAGTCACCTTCTCCCATGAGTCCCAGGAAGTTCTGACTCCACAAAAAGTCCAAGGGTGGAGAGCAGAGCCTTTGTGTCAGAACTAAACTCCTCGGACACTTCCATTCCCCTGATGGAATACTTGGATTGGAGATGAGACTGGGACAAGGTAGTCCAGTTGGAGCGGAGACCAGAAATTCTGCTGGACCATTGTGGGGGGAGACAGTCAGAAGGACATTATCCTCAGGGCTGCAGGCAGCCTGTCGGCGACCCCAGGCACCTGTCTGAGGACAGGACCAGGACAGGAGTGGCCGAGCTGAGAGTCGAATCCCAAGACCCGGGCTACTTAGAGAAGCGATGCATTCCCCACACGTCCTCTCTCCTCCCAAGGGAGTCTGGGCTGGGTTTTCCATCCTGAAAAATTCAGCCCATTATAGGCGCGGAGGAGCCACACAGCAGCTACAATGTGTCATCTTTCATGATGTGTTACAGCCAATCCTTTGCAGGCCTTCCTCAGTGATTTTGCTATGAGGCCAGAAGCAGAAGTTTCCAGAAGACAATCCTACATTTTGTTTGCAAAAGCTTAGACTCATTGACGTTTCTATCCAAAAAGACTATTCTGTACTCCTTAAATTTGACTTCACTTTCCAAAGTTACTAAGCCCTACAAGCTGTGGTTCTGAAGTGAAAATGTCAGCCAGCCTTTAAAATAAGAATGAACACAGACATGCCCCTACCGCACACACTGATTAAATTTCTGTTTGAGCGTGAGGTGGATTTAAAATTCTGGACATTAACTAAAACTAATGGAGAGACTTTAGGTCCCTTAGAAAATAGTGAGCTATATAATAGGCAACTAAGAAAAGTGGTGCCCCTCCGTTTTATGTGACCACGAAGGTAAACAATCTTGAGATTGTTTCATATAGAATCACCGTAATTCATTTTTTTAATAACTCTGATGACAACAAAATTAATCAAAGGGAAAGACAATTCATCTTCTAGCCTGTTATTACTTCATCCAACAGGCCTTCAAGGGGTTTCTGACCATTCCTCAAGGACAGAAGCCACTAAATATTCTGCTGTGAATGTCACAGCCATCTCCCTGCCTGTGCACGCACACACACACGTACACACATGCACACACACAAACACGCACACACACTAGGTACTGGACCGCAACAGTTATCTGGCTGGATTCACCACCCAGTAGACCCTTCTTACTTGTGTCCTGGGCAAACACTGAATCCCTTTACCCCTCAGTTCTCTTAGCTGCCACATGGGAAAAATAGTGACTTCCTAGATTGTTCTAAAAATTAAATAAAATAGTCAATTTGAAACACCTGGTCTAGGTCATCACATAAAGTATGATAGCTACAATTGCATTCTCAATTTTGTTTCAAGCATTTTATAAGCATCTGGTCATTTTGTGTGGCTCTAGGAAGCCTGTGCTCTAGGAAGGGGCTCATACTGCCTTCACTGTGCTAATGAAGGACTGAGGTTCAGAGTCACACGGCTCAGTGCAAAGTTCATCTGCCACTTGATACTCCACAAGAGACAATACCGTGGTAGCTGTCATGATTGTGTTTGGCTTAAAGGGGATGCTTACAGAAGAGGGCTTTAATTTCAAGATTTTCTTTTGAAGGGGTGTTAGGCACGTAACTTGATTTGAAGTAAAATTTGAGAGTGATACAAGATGCTTAAAAATTAAATCAACAAGAATGCAAACTTAACACCCCCCACCATAATTACAACTTCAACTTCTTTAGGCCAGATGGAAAGAATTTACAATATTCTTGTTTCCAAAGAGTTGACAAAGTATTTGCTTAAAGTTGATGAGCATGGTTAAACAAAATCTGAGAAATGGGGTGTTGTCCGATTCAACTGCAAACAACTTATGGAAGCCCCAAGCTCACAGAATGAGCTTCCTTATCTGTCAGATAAGGGATTTGATTAGAACAATGACTCAACCCTGCTACCCGCCTCACATTGGAGTCAATCAAGGAGCTTTTTAAAAAGACTGCCCAGGCCTGGGCAACCCCAGAGATTCTGATCAAACCGGCCTGGAGACAGCTATGCATGGGAAGATTTTAAGTCTTCCCAAGGACTCTCATGTGCAGCCCAGGTGGAGAGGGACTACTATAAATATCTCTAAGAGCCGTCTGGGATGCAAAATCACACAGTGCCATGTGCATCTATAAGATCATAGAAGCAAAACTGGAATACCTGAAGCAAAATCTTGTTGCCATCATAGTCCTGTGTTTGCCACCTGGTGTGGCTGATGGGGATACACGGGTGAGGCAGAAGAGGCACTAACTGGCCGATCTCCTGAACCTTGAACTGTAGCACCGACGACTCTTTGGGGTCCACCGACATCCCAAGGGGCAGCTGCTTCAGGGAGAGCTGCAGAGCAAAGCTCTCAGTGGCATAGAGCACAAAGAAACAGAAGTTGCTCTTCTGCAGGGTGGCATCCCTCTGCAGGATCATCTCATAGAGTCTGATGGCATCCTCGTAGTTATCAAAACTGCAGTAGAGCGTCACTCTCAGGATCTCAGTGCCACTGGGCGCCTGCCGCACACCCCAGACGGGCATCTGGCTGTCCAGACTGTAGAACTCCTGACTGGCAAGCATGTAGGGACACGGTCGTCCCTGCAGGTTCCCTGCAGGGTGGCACTGCCATGGCCAGTGCCGAAGGGAGTCAAGAACGCGGAACAGCCTCTCCTCTCCAAGGCCTTCATGCAGGAAGAGCAAAACAGACATCCCCGGGAACCGTGACCGCCTGGAGTGGCACTTGTCGTCGTATTTCAGTGGACTGACCCTCTCTGACACCAGAAAGAGACGGACCTCTGGGCAAATACAGTCCAGGAGCTGGTCCAGGGTTTGCTGCAAAAGTGAGCCATGCCCAGAGTTGGCAAGGAGGTGGACAGTCATGACCAGAGGCTCTCGTGTCCCGTCCATTCCGGACTGCCCAAGGATGACGAAGGAAGTGAGTATGAGAGCCCTCCGTTGAAGCTTTGGAAATGAAGGAGCGGGCAGTTCTCATGTGGAGCCTTAAGCCCACCAAGGAGACCTTCAGCTGCTTCAGAGCAGAGCTCTTGACCTGCGCTGCTGGTTGCCGGGGGCCTCAGCAACACAGTGGGTAATGTCATCCAGCTCGTGCAGAATGTGATCCTGCGTTTGGCTTTTTCAGGCACTCCGCAGGGTTTCTGTGTGACCTAAAAACCTATAATCCTGAGAAACACCCGAGTGGGTGGTTCTTACAGGCACTCAGTAAAGGAAATGACCGGGCAAAAAGGAACAGGAGTCCCCTCTGTCAGGCTGATAGCAATCTGTTTAATTGAAAAGACATCCATTTTAGGGACCCACAATGGTTCTGATTTCCTCCCTACATGTCTGGGTGTTTACAGCAGCCAGCCAGGCCACCTGAATACAATGACTGCTTTAAAACAATTCTCAAAACGTGTCCCCTTGCCAGGATTTTTGTCCCCTTTGTCTTTTGATTTTGTTTTTGAACAACTGACCCTGGGGCATTGAGGAGAGGATACGCTATCTAAATAATTTTGACTATTCACTGAAAGTTATTTGCTCTATTGGGAAAACTGAGCTTAGGTACTAAAAAGGCATTGCAAAACTAAGTCTCCCTTTATGCCAGTTCTTTGGAAAAAGTGAGAGCTTTGTCATGTCAGTAATCTAATTATTACTCATATCTTACTGAGGATCTGCTAGGAACCAGCCATAAACTGTTCTAAAACTTGACATAAATTGATTTAATCCTTCAGCAAACCTATGAAGAAGAGATTATGATCCCCAAATTACCAATGAAGAAACCGGGGCACAGAAAAGCTAAAGGTCTCAAAGCTAAAAATGGGCTGAGAGAAGATTTGAACCCAGGAACTGAGGGGTCCCCAGGTAACCCAGAACAGGAGTATTCCTGTTACCCAGAAATCCAGGCCTGGCCTTCCTTCCTGAGGATAAGGAAAGGAGGCCAAACCAAATTCCAGAGGAAGACATGAACTTCCCAGAGAGTCTGTGTGCTGTTGAATCTTAAGATGGGTAATCGCCAATAAGAATGTCCAAGCTCTAAACGTAACACCTCCTAATGCTCTAAATGTCTGTTAGAAAATCATTTGCTTTTCTGGTAGTTATGTTCCTAGAAAGGTATGGACACACACATTTTTTCTAAGCATAATTCTTAAAATAAGCAATTTATTAATGCTTATAATGGGATGCAGTCTGACTTAATCTTTTTATAAATTAAAAAGCACTTTTGTAATGAAAAATACAACTTATCTTAAATTTTGTTTTATATAGGTGGAATTCTTTCATAGTATAATAACCAAATTTAAAGTCAAATATTGTTTTCCATGGAAAAGAATCTATTCTATTCAGACTTCCTTTCTAAATCCAGCCTATACTTCTAATCATTTGTGTTTCATAAATTCTATTTCTTGCACTGGAAAAATACATCAATACAGTCTGTAACAGATGGATTCTTAATTGCAATTAGTGACTCGGTAATTAAATTCATTTTGTTTTCTAAAAATTTCACTTTTTAAAAATCATGTTACTTTCTAAAAATCATTGGAGTATTTTTTAGGGGCGTTCTAGTTCTGCAGCTTTTCCAAAAAATACCTCTTCATGCATGTTCCACGTTGGCGTTTGAAGGCAATAGCTTGCTCATCCCTCAGTATGAACCTGTCTCCTTTCTTTTGCTTTCCACTCACAGAGCTGACTGCACTCGGGCACTTCAGACTTTAAACGTGGTGTTTGTAATAGCCTTTGCAATTCTGGAAGTAACTCTAAAGGTTCAAGGAGAAAAATTACACCCCTGAGACAAAGATAGTTAACTCAGAACATTTTGTACAAGGCAAGAGTTTAAGCCCTTCTATAGAAAAGGTTTTAATCTTCTATCCAGTGCAACATATTTTTTTCCTCTTGAGGTTGTCATTTCTGTCAGGCTGGAAAATATTTCATTAATCTGATAGCAGTCAAGGAGCCAAGGAATAGGGGCTGAGTGAGAGGGGGTGCCACCAGTCTCCTTTCTGACTGGCCCTCTCCACAATTATTTCTCCAGGAGCAACTTGAAATACTGACCCTCAGAGTAACTGCCTCCACTCCCGTCAGCCCCTTCCCCCCACCCCAGCAGTCAGACTCTCGGCTGTGCGCCAGATTCCATGGTGCTCTTCAATTTTGCCCGCTGCTCCTGTGGAAGGCACAGATGACTATGCTAGTCATCAGCTTTGACTCCAAATACCTGGTCAGCTGACACTTAATTCTCCACCTTATTTTTCTTAAAGTTGGCCAAGTCCTGTTATCTGTCAGTCGCTGGCTCCTGGATGGCAGTCAGCTGGTCAACCTCTCTTGGCAAAATGGAGGAGCTGGTGACAGGTTGTACAAGGCAATTTAAGAAATCAGCTACTTCTGAGGATTTGTTGAAACCTGCAGATGTCCACAGGGATTTGTACCTGCTGCAAGTCTCATAAACACGGTGGGATACATTAAAACCCTGAGATCCCATTGCCACTCCAAGAAATCTTTGAGAATTTCTTTCTCCCATTAAATTATAAAGTATGTTTTTTCTCTCACATATTGAGAGCCAGGCACTGTGCCAGGAGCAGAGAATAGATTACCACCATGCCCCACTTGGGAGGAGCATCTTAAATGCTCATCATTGCAAGATGCCATCAAAACCCCTAGGAGGAGTCACCGACCTAGAGGAGACGGCCAAAGAAGCATCCAGAAGAGGAGACAATACCTGAAGTTCTGAAAAGAAGGAAGGAGGCAGGCAGGCAGGGGAGGAGCTGCAGGGGAGGGGCCCCAGGGGGAGAGGAAGCTGATGAGGACAAAGTCCATCTGGGGGACAGTGAAGGGACTCTGATCCATTGGCGGAACTGCAAGCAGCCCAAGATAGATGGAGGGTGGGGCCAAAGAAGGGGGAAGGTAGGAAAAGGTTGGAAAGGCAGCCGTGCCTGGAAGGTCACCCTAAAGGCTTTGGATTGTTTTCTAATGGAAACAGAACCACATAAAAGTTGGTTTGAACCAAGAAGTAATGCTGGAGGAAAACCTGGACAGGAGTGGGATACGGCAAGTCAAAGTCAGTGGACGGCTTGTTGGTGGGATGTGGACAGAGAGCTGCAGGGACAGGTCCAGGAGGACTCCCGGGTGGTACTTACAGGTGCCTAAGTGAGGCTGTCAGTCACCCAGCAAGGAACCCTGGAGAAAGAGAGCAGCGGGGAGTGAGGGGAGGAGTCAGAGTGGGCACGGTAAGCGTGGATACCAGCGAATGCTTGAGTGGAGGTATCCAGGGCCACATAACGGAATGCATAGAGGGGACTGTAGGTAGGGAACCATGGGTCTTAAGGTAACCATGAGAATGCAAATGACTCAGGAGGAAGAAACACAAGGATAGGAAAGGTAAGAGGATGGCTCCACAGTGTCCAGTTTAAGGGACAAGCGACATGTAAGTGACAACCCAGGAGAGCAGCATTGTGAGTGTGCTGTCTGAGCCTGTGTGGGTGTCTGTGTATGAGAATTTCAGGAAATGGCACTGGTTGAGCAGACATCACCACCAGAGTTTCAGAATAACATTGCGACCCTCTGCCTTCTTAGGCAGGTGAACCTGACAGGTGCCCAAGTGGGACTCAGAGCCATTCAAGCCCAAAAGCACCTCAACTGTGATTGCCTGACACTCAGGTGCTAACCAGAGGCCAGGTATTATAGAGCTTGAAGCAGTAACTGGAGGAAGGTGCTGGGAAGGGGCCACGTCACGCTTATTTTTCAGCCCCAGACAGCAGCCTCCAGCTCTACTCCTGCAGAGTAGGCACTAGATAGATCTATAGCACAGAAGAAATCTTGGCATCTCCTGTTAAGAATCCCAGGGACTTTAAGGGAACTTCCCATCATTCCATAGCTGGTTAATGGCAGAGCTTGGGTTTCTGGTTTTTGAACCATTTGTCCACCATGCCTAAGAGAAGTGATGCATAGCAGCCTTTATTATCTCTATCTATGCAGGTAAGAACCACTCAGTTTCTAGCATGCAGCCAGCACATAGAGTGGGCATACTGGGCATACACACTGTCCATGCCATGCCCTAGACAGCCCTGGTTAACATGTGCTTCCCCCCCTGTACTCAGCTTTCCTTCTCCCAACACACATACACACACACACACACACACACACACACACACCTGCGCGCCTATATCCTTGGGTCATAACTCCTGGCTTCTCAGAGGAGTTCTGGCAGAAGTAGTAGCAGGCAAACAATGAGGCCTCTGCACTCCCACCCCCACCCCCCAGAGCTCCTCCTAGGGCGGAAGTGGCCACAGCAAGCTCCTTCTGGAAGCTGTTATGACTCTTAGCTGAAAGCTTCTCTCCTGGTTCCCCAGAGGATAGCCCTGCCCAACGCAGAACAATGTTATCAGGTCCTGTTACATTGCCATCTGTTTCCCTCTTTTCCAGGACAGTGTAGCCCAGTAGCAGCCTGTCAGCTGATAGCCGGCATTTTCACAGGTGCAACAAAGAAGGCATGCTTCCTCTGGGGTCTTTGTTGTAGTCTTCTGTGGTGACATCATTTCCCACGTTCTGATCAGCTATGGCTCTTGGCTGAACAACTCACTAACTGCATAAGGAGGCAGAGAAGTAGAGTGGAGCAAGCTCAGCATGTGCAAAGACCCTGCGGTAGGCAGGAGCATGGTGGGAGGAAGGACTGGATTACGTAGCTGGTGGTACTAGGTGTTGAATTCTGTAAGAGGAGGTTTGGCTGGGGTGTGGCTGCAGGAGACTTGGGCCAACATGCCAAGTTCTGTCGCTCACCTGGAGAGGACCTGAGATGCCTAATCCCCCAGGTTTTGTTTCATCATCTCAGCTGAAGATAAAAAGTAGCAATGGTAATAATCAACCTGACTCTTGCCACTGATTAAATGAGCCAAAATCCCCCAGAGAGCCTTCCAAGCTCTCAAATGCTCTGCTAGAATAATCATCTCATGTGAAATACTTTCTATTCAATATTGGTTTAACCCACCAAATAATATCCAACCAGTGCAGCAGGGAATGGAAAAAGAAGTTTGTGTCCACTATTTTGGTGGAATACTGTGCATCTGTAACAAAGAATGAAAGAACTCTGGGGAAGTAGATTGGCACCGACCATCTAGTAAAGTTAAAGATATACATACCCTACATGTTGGTATTTCACCAGCCAGGACTTGGCCTGTGCAGGGAGGTCAAACAGTCTGTCTAGGCAGAAGGAAGCTGTGATCTTTGAAAATGAACAGAATTTTCTTCTTCCCACTGTGAGCAGTGGGAAGGACCTTCTAGGACAAGGACCAGTGTGTGCAAAGGTCCTGTGGTAGGCAGCAGCATGGTGGAATGAATGGCTGGCTTACATAGCTGATGCACCATCTGGTAAGAGAGGAAATTTTGCAAGAAAAGCAGGTTTGGCTGGGATGTGGCTGGACGATTATCAATATTTGAGTTCTAGAAAAATGTTTTGTGATGCAGAATATTCCCAGCAACCCAGAGAAGAATCAGTCACTGGCCAGATGATAATAATTGCTAATAACCTATTGAGCGCTTACTGTCATATGACATCTAGATATGTGAAACCAAAGCAACCTTTAATTATTTGATATCTTGTTTTTTTTGTTACAGTAGTAATAGAAAAAAACTGTATGTATATATAATTTTACAGAAAATTTGGGGTTTGCTAAAGTGAGGAAAATAGCTGTGGTCCTCTGGAGGACTTGTATAAACATCTATACAACCTTCCTGTGTGCCTCCGGACACTTCACAAATGTTTACTCCAGCAAGTTGTTAGCTGAATGTATATGGAGAATTTTCTAATTGATACATGCGCATGATTTCTTTTTCCCTGATAGAGAAATGTTAGCTATTTATCAACAGTTTGGGTTAAAGGTCAACTATAATTAATATGTAATAGCAAGATTTCTTCTTTGGAAGTTTAAGAAATGACCCCAAACCAGACAAAAGAACAAAAACAAAAACCCTGCCAATGTTTGCAAAAGAGATCACAAATGTTGTTATAAACTCTTACCTGCTTCAGACAAGTATCTTTCCAACATAAAGACTCAGGTTCATGAAGTGACACATCTATAAATTGGTAAGGATGAAGCCAACTGACTGTGAACCATAAGCCATTTTTATGTTACTAACATACATAATGTGCACCTTTAAGAATAATCTAGAAGTGGGCATAAAATACCACACCTCAAACTCTACCAAAGATGATGCTCCATCAGAAAGTCTAGCCTTAGTTACCATGCAGATTACAAATAGAGATGGATATTCTTTCTCATGACAAGAAGCACAGCTTCCCGTGCCAGCCTTTAAAGCATTAAAGCTCACTCAGCAGAAAGCCGACGAGTCAATCAGACCGAAACCGACATGCCTGGACTGGCCAGTCGGCCCTGCCAAGCTTGCTTTGCTGTGCTCTGTCAGCTGTTCTGCTCCTAATGGGCCTCAATTCCCACTTTATATTTATACCCCAGCTGCTGCAAAAGGCCACGGCTGTGCCAGTCAGCCAGCCAAAATAGAAGAGATGGGGAAACAACCACACACATGAATACCCAATCCTTTTTTAAACCATGAAGCAGGAATTTGGGTCTATTCAACTTCATAAAAGAAATTTTCTAAGACACAAATTGAAGTTCAGTTGCTATGGCTACCTGGTACAAATGTCCTGTGGCTGAATTTTTATCCAAATATGAATCCTTCTGAAGAGGTTTTG